GCTCCACAGTGCAGCCTAGGTGGAGTAGTCGAACACAGATCCACTGATCCTTCAACACAGAGCATCTTCAGAAGACAAGCTGATAAAATGTTAAAAATCTGTATTGCTCCACACAGAGTGTGTATTGAACAGTTTGATACAGATACATGTTTTGTTTTGTTATGGTAATATTCATTTAACAAAGACAGAAATACGTGGTCCAAGAATGAAGGTACTCCGTGGGATGATCAGCTGAGTTTTACTGCAACAACAGGAAACACAGAGAACAACCTGGCCTGTCTCTGTGCCTCTGCTTCTCTCTGTCAGTCTCTCCACACTGCTGTTGAACACTGTTGAATCCTGTTTTTTGACTCGACATGGAATAAAAACGCTCCCATAATCTACCTCAGCTATTGTCGATTCAGCCTCAGAAGAACCAGACCAGCGTCTATAACAATTTACAATTTCAATGTGTGTGGGCCGAAGAATTTGCTGTAGCTCTTTAGCAGAAGGTGCTAATGAAAATATAAGCTCACCGTGCCTCTGCCGACAGACAGGTTCTTTTTTCCGCTTCAGTCCCAAAGGGCTACCCACAGCGGCCGAGGTAACGACAGATCGCAAAACCCGGATACGATCAGCAGACAAAAAACAGGTCAGCTTTTCAGCCTCCATCTTCCGGTGGATGTCCGAGACAAAACAATCGGCCGCTGCGGGCCGTCCTCCGGTCCTTGAAGCCGCCATTTCGACAACGCCAAAATCTGTCGTGGTATGAAGGCAGAAACATGTTGGAATAATGCCAGAAAAGTCTGCGTGTATGGTCGTAAATAAATGATTTAATTCTGAGCAACAAACAAACAGGACCCAATCAAGGAAGTACCGTTGGCTCGCTGCTGACACATCAGCGGACACAGCCAATAATATACACCATGATAACATCATATGACGTGCTTATAACCAATCACAGATCGCCCCATTTACTCTCCAGCCTATCACAGGGCTCCCAGCTCAAAGAGTGTCTTATCAAACAAGAGAGGTCAGTCCGTTGCGGAGTCCTGTTGTCTGGACGAACAGATTAACATTTAACATGTGACGCAGATAGATAATTAGTCCATTACAGTTTCAACCCCAYTTGTTTGTTCAAAAATTCAAGACTTTTCTTAAATTTGGCTGAAATGTGAGGAAACCAGGAAAATCTTGCATCGTGTTTAATGCAGGCTAACCCGTCCTCCTTCCTGATGACTCACGTCCAGTCAGGAAAATAAAAATATTAAACTAAGTTCACTTGAAACTACAAAGATTCAGCAGCAGCTAAAATCATTCGTCTCTGTGCAGAAACCTGTGGGACTAACTGAACAACCATGTGGTTTTTAAAATAATACTGAGGGGAAAAAAGGAGGATTTCAGGAGTTTTATCTMATTACTGGTGGGAGTCTGGACCGTTGCATTCAAATTAAATCAATCTGTTCGGTTCTTTAAACGCTCCAGGACGAATATCGAACAGTCTGTTTGGTAAATTTAGTTATTAAGTTAGAAAACGGATCATTCTTTAAATTATTGTAACAAGCTCCACATTGAAACAAGCACTCTTTGTCCTACAATTGCTTGGATCACGTTCATTCAGTGTGTGTGTGTGTGTGTGTGTGTGTGTGTGTGTGTGTGTAATCTGCAGTGTTTTCAGACAGACAGCTCGTTATAGAGGTCTAATATTCAGCAGACAGATTTAGTCTTTAGCTTCACTGAATAATTTATCATTCTCAGTTTTTAGCCCAAAGTTACAAAGCTGCAAAGACGCATTTATTTATCATCAGTTATTGTGATTTATTTAAAAATATACTAATAAAGAGGTGATAAGATCATGAGAAAATTGTTCAATCACAGTTAAATCTGAGAGATTACGCCTTCTTTAAACCCTGTTAATTTTAAAGCCCACTTTTATTGTGAAAGGATGCATTTTGGTTCAAAAGAGAGAAGAAATAATTGTTTATTTAGGGTTTGAACTTGTGATTTTTGTGTCAGACTTGCTTCCCTCTGAGCGACTGATTCACCAGCCTGAGCTGCTCAGACACTAGTGAAAGTGAGCTCGCGTCGTTTAAATCCCGAAGCCCCGAGGCGTCGGCTTCAWCGCCTCCTCCTGGATGAGTTTTTGTTCCCAGACATCCGAGATCATCCGCTGCCGACGGAGGCGTCCTTCCTGCCCACGCGCTCAGGTGACGCAACGACGGCGCAGCGCAGAAATCCCACAGAGGAAGTAATTCCTTGCTCAGGGGGTTCCTCTGGTCCCTGCGAAGCTCTGCAGGCAACCAGAGCGGGAACCCCCACCGGGGGCTCGGTGGGCGATGCGTGGAAATGGGAAATTTGGGTCAAACTCTGCAGGATGACGAGGAGCTCAGCATGTAAATAATACAGCGGGGCGTCTGACCTCCTTTCTCTTCTTGTTTACACAAAAACAAATTCAACATGAAAGTGTGTCACCTTCCTCCCTGRCCCCAGCCTCCTCTTCATCGCCGCATTCAGCCTCCGCCTGTTAGCAAAATATTTAACTGAACACGGGACGGATTTTCAAGACACTTTCAGGAAATCGTCTCTAAACGAACAAGCCAACACAAAAATGAGGAGAACTCTGTCAATTTTACAGATATTGAGCTGAAACTTGGCGCGGTAGTAGCTGAGAGTCATCCAAACTATAAATTTTCTCAGCATAAGATTAACTCAGTCTAACAGTCTGGTTGGAAAGGTAACAAAACGCTTGTTTTATAGATGCTTTTGCAGTTGTGGAAACCTTAAAAATGCAGTGCAGATTTGAGCTCAGCTGTTTAAGGAATTTTAAAAAAATTAAAAGAAATTTAAAAAGTCTCTTCCCTTCCTGTTTTTCTCCCTACATGGCTGAGTCCAGCAAAGCCTCCATGAGAAACACAAAACTATGAAAGCTGAAATACGACACGGAGATCCTCTCCAGGCTGAGAGTGAGTCTGCAGCAATGTGACATATCAATCTGAGGAGGAGGAGGAGGAGGAGGAGGAGAAGGAGGCAGAAGAAGGAGGGGAGCTAATGAGAAAATCAATAAGCAGGCTGCAGCTTTATGTTTAAAAAACTCAACAAAAAATGAAAAATAATGGATATAATTCAGTGCAAACAGCTGATGATATGAGCAGCAGGACACACACACACACACACACACACACCTCTGCTTTAACATGCACGTTGAAGTACACGTTAGTGTGATGTTTGTTTCCTCCCAACAACAGAACAACAAAACGGTTCATCACAGGGTGAACGCTGAGTCAGCTGATTCCAGGTGCGTTTTTTTAGCTAACCTTCAGCTAGTCGGGCGTCAAAAGGTTCAGCTTGTTCCAGACGCCACGGCTCGGACATTTGGTGTCTGGAACTTTTAGAGGTTTTTTTTTTTTTATTTACTTTTATTTACAGTTTTCAGCTATTAAAAATGCATCAAGTTCTGTTGAAAACACCTGAAGCCGCTACGTGTTCCTTGAAATCTTTTTATTGTACTTGCTTCATTTTTAGCTTTTAGCTGTTTCTAACTTTTAGCATTTGCTTTGCCAGTTTTAGCTTATAGCTTTAGCGCTGCTGGTTTTAGCTTGCAGTTTTAACTCTGTTAATTTTCTTAACTTTAGCTCAGATAGTTTTAGCTTCAAGCTTTTGCTTTACTGGTTTTTGGTTTTAGCTTTTAGCCTCTGTTCAGGTTTTAGCTTCAGCTACTGTTCTGCTGGTAGTAGCTTTCAGTTACTGTCCAGTGGGTTTTAGCTTTTAGACAGTATTTAGCTGGTTTTAACTGTTAGCATTTGTTTTGCTGTTTTTTTTTCTTTAGCTTAGCTGGTTTTAGCTTTTACCTTTAGCTCTGCTAGTTTTAGCTTTTAGCATTTGCTTTGCTGGTTTTAGTTTTGTGCTTTAGCTTAGCTGGTTTTCACTTTTACTTTTAGCTCTGTTGCTTTTTAGCTTTTAGTGTTTGTTTTGGTTTCAGCTTTTAAACTACTGTTCTGATGGTATTAGCTTTCAGCTACTCTTTAGCTACCAGTAGTTCTAGTTCAGTCAATGTTTTGCTCATTTTGACTCTTAGCTGCTGTGTTGCTACTTTTAGCTTTTACTTTAACAAAACTTTAGCTTCTCTTTATCATAATTTCAGTTTTGTTCTGATTGTTTGAACTTTAACAGCTTTGTTTCGGCTTGGCTCAGCTGATGTTTCTTCTGGTTTGTTTTAGTTTTTGTTGTTAAAACAAAGATTTAAATGAAAAAAGATGAGAAAACAGTTGTAAAATGTTGACGTTCACTTAAAACGTCTTTTTAAACTCTTCAGTTTTGGTTTTAATCCTTCACATGGACACTGCTCATCTATTTTAAGACTTTTGCTCATTTGGGTTTTGATGTATTTTACATTTTTGCACGTTTATTTTGGTCTTGTACTTCTGCTTTTTTTATGTTTTGTTTCTACACAGCTGCATTTGTGTAGGAAACTGTTTAAGCTTTTTTTTTCTTGTGGTTATTCTGTAAATCTGCTTCTAAATCAGAGTCAGGAGAGGTTTTCTTGGGATGTATTAAATTATTTGCAATAAATCCTGATTTAAACACATCTTCAAGTCTAAATGATTAAACAGATTTTGGTTTGTGCAAAAAAAAAAGTTTTTTAGCTAAGAAAAAACAGTCATTTCCATTTGTTAGATAATTTAAAATATCAAGATCCTGAACAGAACAGGGTTTATAAAAGAATTAATAAGAAAAATAGTTGATTTTTGAATAAATGACCCTCTGATAACTGGTGATAAATGGTGTAAAGTGTGTAATTCTGTGTTTCTGAGGGATTATTTGTGTAGTTTTCCTCCACCAGGACCAGGTGGCTTTGATTTCCTCTGCATCCGACCCAGAACCAACATCCAGCAGCAGTTTCATGAATTCTTCTGGACTTGGGTTTTTGACAGTCACAGACTCACAGCTCAACACTTTTCCCACTTCCAGCTGAAACTCGGACCCGACCTCCCCTCAGAACCGCGGGGCTCGGTGGTACTCACCCTCGGATAACTCCAGCTCCAGCTCGGCCAGTTTAGCCCGCACCTCCGCAGGAAGCGGCACCGGGTCCCGGTCAGCCATTCCGCCGCTTTCAAACCTCCGTTTCCCGGTTTTATTATTTTTTTTCCTCCTCGTTCCGTCGGTCCAAGTTTGTCCTCGGAACCCCCCACCCTCCCCGGGATAAATCCAAAGTGAGTCGGAGTCTCGTCGCTCCTCGAGCGGCAGCCGCGCGCTCTACCTCCTCCGCAAGACCAGCGTCAAGCTGAACGGAAGCTGCCGATGCCGCTTCCGGTTGTTCTGGCTTCAAATTAAGAGCTCAACACTGAGGCCTCTGGCAGAAGTTACTCTTAAAAATCCCTTAAAATTAAATTTAAAACTAACAATTTACAAAATACTTTGACTTTGACTAATATTCAATGCATGAAAAAATATTTGTATAAGACAAATGATTTTTCTTTTTTATTTTTAGTCACTTTTTTGCTATTAAATACGTGACTGACGACAGAAACAGCACTTTATATGTTTTATGCATGTGTAAATACCAAGATTTTACTTTTGGATTAACCAAATCATTTTTATTCTTTTTCTTTTTGGCAAACTGTCAAATGTATATAAAAAGCGTTGAGCACTTTTTTCTACAGTAAACAAAATGTTTAGGGTTCGTCAGATTAATTAATAAAATTGTGTTTATATACACATAGAAAACTAGAGAGGATCAATAGAGGAAAGTATTAAGTAAAAGCAACATATACAAAGGGGCAAATTGCACACCCTAATAACAATTTTATTTACTAAAACAGAACAAAACATGCTCTTATTTTGAGTGTAAAGTTCCTGTTTGCCTCTTTGTAACTATAGTAAACTTTTTAATTTCTAATTGAAGTAAAATCATCTGCAGGTGACCAAACTAAAAATATTAAAAATATTAAGATAAAACTAAACAAACGTAAATAATTTATTTTTGTTTAATTGTTTATTAAGGATTTATTTATTTATTTGTTTATTTATTTTTGTGAAAACATGTTCAAACTTGTGGAACAGCCTGTAGAGGGCGCCAAATATCAACTTCGCTGTTTTCAATTATAACAAAAAAAGGACCAAATAAAAACAATGAGCAAAAACAGTTTATAAGAGTCATTGAGAAACATTAAACTTTCCAAATCCCAGGTCATCAGACTTTTTGAGCTCTTCTATACTTTATTAAAATATATATACATCTAAAGTACAAACAGTTCAAAACCCTGACCAGATAAAAGTAAATGTCTTAATTTTTCCCTGCTTCATACAAAACATGTTAAAAATAATACAGTAAAATGTTAACACAGAAATTATTGAGCAAATCAAACTCTGTGTGTTTGCTGCCCCCTGGTGGTCACAACTGAAGCAAAACATTCAATAAAGCTGAAACTGATACGAAGCTTGATGTGGTGCATCAACAAGTGCTGCTATTCAACCATTTTAGACATTTTTAATTTAATTTTCTAAAGCAAAAAAAAAACAATAAAATAAAAAAACAGGGATTAGTTTGAAAAATCACATTTCTCAAAGTGTTTACCTTTTCTTTAAAGAGCTTTAATGTGCCTTTAAGAACATATTTAAATAAACTAGTAAGACTTACTCTGGAGTATTTATTATTACACAAAGATGTTTCAGTGGATTACAGTTTAACTGATGATTTGAGGAAAATTAAAAATCATTTTCAGTGGAAAAAAAAACTTATGAAGCTAAACTTAAAATTCATGGCATTTACTGCCCGATATAGAAACAAAGAATCAGTCAGCAGGTGCTGAGTTGGGAATAAACAAATCAACAATTTCATTTTTTAAAACTGGATTATTTTAAGTATTTTTGTCATTTTAGTTTAAAGATTCACTTAAAAAGCAAAATGAACGGGAGAGAAAATAAACAAATCTACACAAAGAAAGACACAACTTGTCATCAGTGCCTAAATCTTTATTTTTCAGTAAGCTACATTTTTCTCTCCAAATTAGACAAGTTTTACATCATGACACAAGAGTWACTTAAATTATCTAGAGCCGATATGTACGCTTGATTCCAGTCTCAATGGAAGAAAAAAGGAAAAAAAAAAGACCCCAAAATAAAGAAAAGAAGCCCTCTTTGACTGCAAACTCCGTCCCGCTCGTGTTAAAGGTGTCTTTAGGCAGAGTTGTGTCCAAACCCCGACACGACGGGGACAAACCGATTGTCCACAGCTGTTAGCGAAGCACAGAAAGAGTTAACGAGTTAGACCACATGAAGAAGGTTCCAGTCAGTTCTTGTGCATTTGATGTCTTCAATAACCACAGAAGGATGAAACGCAAAGAAAACAAACAAACGATGGCACTGTCAACAAACATGGAGGGGAGGGGGGCTGAGGACAGGCTGCTGTGAAGTGTGACGCTCCGTGAGGCTGTCCACACTGAGGAACCGGATCCAGGTCTCCTGTTTGCATCAGTCTGAGTTTCAGGTGGAACTTTGTTTTGTTGTTTTGTTTACTCCACACATGCACGTGTTTGTAGTCCATGGATGCCTCAGGAGGAACGTGTCTCCGTGCGCTCAGAGTTTTTCCTCCATTAAAGACGAAACAAAAACTGACAACAAGCTGGATAATGGCACGATTTTCAAAATAAAACCAACGTGATTCCAGTTCAACTCCTCTCCGTCAGAAGCCTGAAAATAAAACCTCCGCTTTTACTTTCTCAGAGTCACAAACAAAACATTGAGCTCTGGGCGGGAACACTTTCACTTCATCCTTTAATGTTTCAGATCCACAGCAGCCGTCGCTTTCTCAGGCTTTTTTGGCAAAAAACAAACAAAAACAAAACCTCCCAGCTTGAGTTAAAAAGCTGCTGCAGGGATGTGATGTGAATAAAAGGGACCGGGCGTCACACCTCAGAACACCTGAAGACCGGAGCCAAACGTCCGACAAGCATCGGCCTGAAACCTGATTCATGCTCAGCTTCTCTCCCACCAAATCCTCCTCCCATTTTCTGTTTAAGGCTTTTATTTTCTTAACGTTTTAGTAATAATTAGGAACCGAAAACTGAGTCAAAACTGGTGGTTTGTGTTTAAACTTAAAAAATGTTTCCGACACAAATAATATCATAATAAAAGTGCTCAATAACTAAAAGAATGAAGCTGGATTTTTGTTTAAATGTCTGAAAACAAACTTGTTTACAGCCAGAAAATTCATCCAGAAATGCATCAGATATTAAGATTTATATTTTTTCTATGTTAATGTTGAGATTCTTAAGCATTACAGTGAAGCTGAGATTCAGTTTCTTCTATTTAACCTTTGTTGCTCCAGATCAAACAAAAAGAGAATAAAGTTTAGCAGCTTGTTGGAACATTTTCAGGTTTTAAAACAATTTATAAACCTCACATACAGGAATAAAGCTGCTTTTTATAGTTTATTTTTTTACTCCTGAATATCCGGAAACAGCCAATCCATTCACCAATTATTTAAACACTTTTTGGCAACATTACACAAAATATTTTGTTTTCCTTGAATAGCAGCTAATCCTCTATTTAAACTTGGATTTTGGTTTCAGATCAAGCAAACAGAAACGTAAAAACTCTTAGTTTAGGCAGAACCTGCGGTAATAATGTGATGAGACTAGAGCTCTGTTCTGCTTTACAAACAATCAGCAGAAAACCTTTTTTTCTGTCACAGTTTGAGTCGTGCTTCTAAAAAAGAAAAGCTGTGAATTAGTGTTAAAATGTACTTGATGTTTTAAATTACGTCTAATTTAGTTGGTTTTAGAGCCATTTATTCAGACGATGCATTAGTGGTTTCTGCTGTTGTGTAAAAAATAAAAATAAAAATAATAATAATAATGTAGTGCATTTTTTGCTACAACCATCTTTGTGCCYAAATTTCATAAATGCACAAATCTGCAGAAATTAAAAGGTGAAAGAGAAGCTGCAGGCGGACGCTCGGCTCCAGGCTTCTGTGTGAAGGGGGCGGGGTGAAGGGTGAAGGGGGCGGGGCCTCACCGGACTCCAAAGATGGAATGCAAGACATTAAAAGAAAAACGTTAGCTGCTCCCGCTGCAGAGCGGAGCACAAATCAAACTCTGCACACTAAGTATTAAAAAAAATACGAAGTTAAAGAAAAAAATTTCAAAAAGCACAACAACGTGTTATTTTTTTTGTTTGTTTTTTTATCCTACATCCAGCAACATTATAGTTAACAAGGATCAATATATTTTTATAATCATTTTAAGGTACCTCTTATATTTTTCTGAGTATTTACATCTGTACAAGCAAAGCACATACTTCAAAGTGCACATATTTAATACAGTATTGACTAGTTGCATTTACAAGGTTTAGATTTTTCCCTCCAAAATAAAAGGACCTAAAACTAACAAACGAGAACCAAAAGAACAATCAAAGCGACTTTTTTTAATACATTTTACAAAACCTAAACAGAAATCAGGAAAAAGAAAGTAAATGCTTCCAGATTTGAACTCTGTCTCTCAGTAAGACGAAATATGTTCCTCGAGTCCCGCTTTAACCGTTTTTAGGGATGTTCTTTTTTTCCTTGTTTTTTTTCTTAAATCTGTGAAAAGAAATAAAAACTCTATGCTCGTCTTGTATAAAAGTTAAGGCAAAGTTATTTTTCAAGTTTAAATAAAATTCAAGTTTTTCAAACACTGGATGGAGTTTTTTTTAAACATTTTGTGTACAGTTTTTTTTTTCGCAAAACAAAAAAAAAAAGAAAAGTCACTGAATAAACAGCACTTTTATAAATAAGTAGATATGGTGTTTTTTTTCTTTTATCTTTTACCATTTCCACCAAGAAAAAAAAAAATAATCAAACCATCCGAGTGCATCTCAGTCCTTCAAAATAAAAAGGAAAAATAAAGAAAAATTTAAATGAAAATCCAATTTCAAAGCAGCTCTGACCGGATGATTTTTTATTTATTTGTTTTATATATTTTTTTAATAATGAATTTTCCCTTTTTTCAATTGTTTTCTGTTAGTGGGATTACCCAGAATGCTTTGTGTTTGCAGGAAGACTGGAGCGAGACGRGTTCAGGAGGTTTTCCACTAACGGGCGTTTTGTGTGCAGCTCAGCGGCGTTCAGTGGGGCTGGAATCTTTTTCTAACAGCTGGAAAAGATTCACCTCAGCGTGCGAGCGACGAGCAGGAAGGGAGCGTCCAAAACAAACAAAAAAATAAAATAAAAACAACCAAACATGTTCGCAGTTCAACATTTTAGCAGTAAAACGGAGAGGCTGCTACAGAAAACAGATCAGACCACGMCCCTTCGCTGTTCTCAGTTTCTCAGGTGGTTTTTGAGCAGAATAAAAAACAAACTCTGCTTTTAAACTCGACTCCATCCTCAGGAGCGGAGCAGCCAGACGCTTCGGTCAATCTTTCCAAGTCGTTACAGAACAGACTCGCAATCAAAGAGTGCAAACAAATGACGACAAATCAACAAACTGACAGGAACAAAACAGTTGTTTTGACAAAGACTCCACGCCGCCGCCGTCTTCTTCTACATCCCAACAAAACCCCGCCCCTTTACCTCCGTAACATCGTTAACAAACACGTTCCAGGTCCGTTCAAACTTTTCTAGATTCATCAAACTAAACAAAAAAACCCTCTAAAGTCCAAACCACCGACTCTCTGCACGAACACCAACTGCTTCACCGACGACAAACAAAATATATTTCTACTAATGATCCGTCAAACTATAACAAGCTGGATGAATGTGACGCTCACGGGTCACAGCAGTGTTTTTAACAGGCAGAAACAAACAAAAAGGCTTCAAATAAAAGAAACTGAAGCGTCTCACAGGAGCAGTTTCTGGTCCAGGGTTGGACCTCTAGCACCAGATCTGAGACAGAACCAGAGACGGGTCAAAAATCATCATCAGGAAACGTTCACAACGAGTGACGCCTGTAAACTAGTGTTAGCTTCTTACTTCCTGTTTGCGACTCGCATCCTTTTCTCTGGATTCTGACTCCGCCCCCTCTCACCTCTCTTCACAGTGTGTCTCTGAAAACAAAACCGTCAACAAATGTTTGTTTTCTGACAAATTAAACAACAAAAAAAAAACACCTGATGTGTCTTTCCTGTCCACGGCTAAAACCAGCAGACCTCACGTCGTCCGTTACACACGATCATTCTTAAAATAAACAAACTATCACAGGAAGGTCTGTCTGCACAGCCACCATGAACGAAGACAAAACTTTAGCTGAAGCAACGGTCAAAAACAGATTAAGCAGTGGGACAAAAAAAATCATAAAAATTAGTGTAAATAATAAAAAACTGAACTAAGGCCACGTTCAACTAGAGAATCCAGGTTTAAATGTCCGACTCTGAAAACATCCAGGAGTAACGACCCATAATTACGCTACACGGAGTCACGACAGCGCCGCGTGACAACCAGACAAGATGGAGTCTGTTTTTACTCTTTCCCATCATCCTTTGGGGTTTTCATGTAAKAATGCCCTGCTGCTTCACACACACATGACTAATTTAATCCCACCGGGTCGTTTGGACAGAGACAGGAGATGTGAACAGTGAACGACCGCGCTGAAGGAGAGAGGAGAAGTAAAAGAAAAGCAGAATAAAAGAGGAAACAGACGGTGCTCTAGGTGCACAGTAAAGTGTTGTCTGCAGCCCTGATCCGGAACAGAAGGCGTCCTCTCTGCTTGTTGCTGACGGTGCTCCTGGGATCTGAGTGTTTAGTAGCCCTGACTTGTTCTCCTTGTTTCCGACACATCGTGGAGCGTAGTGTGGGTGGGGGCCCACCCTACTGCGGGGACTTGGGTGGGGTGTGGTGGGGATCTTTGCTAGGGGTTTTCCCTGGGTGTGGGGGCGGAGAGGCCCACCTCCCGGCTGGCCTTCGGGCCTCCTTTGGTGGTCTGCCCGGGATGCCAGACGCAGAGCCGGGTTTGGTGGAGGWGGAGGGGTGGTGTGTCTCTCTGGACTTGGCGTCCCCCACAGGGGTGGAGGGGTCGCTGCCCTTCCTGTCCTCGGCGGTGGTGGAGGTTGGCTTGGCTTCCTTGGGGGCAGGGGAGTGCTGTAACGTGGGCGTGTCCTTCACTCGCTGGCAGATCTCGGCGTAGGAAGGCTTCCTCGACTCCTGGAGAAGAAAGAAATCAGCTTTAAAACAGTTCCTTCATGAATCCAGGTGGAAGACTCTCTGAGCACATCAAAAATTCAGTCTGAGGCTCCTAGTTTTTATTAATCAGCTCATCTCTTTATTTTCTACAGAGCCCGCCAGGGGACATGGGGTCATTTATTCTTTTGCGTTGCATCGCAATATTGTTTTGTTCCCACACAAACATTTGTTTTGTATGAACTGAATTCCATCAGCTTTTATTTTGAAATATCCAGTTACCAAAACAGGATGTGTCAGCAGCAGTTCTGGAAATTGATGGTGTATTTTGTGACCATACAGAGGTAAAATATCTGCGTATTAAATATTGTAGTATCTAAMATACCAACTGCTTTATTTGATCAAATTTTGTTTAGCKACACTGTACACAAGTTCAATACTAGACATGCTTTAAAAGGTTGTTTTATTCTTCCACAATATAACAGGAATGCTGGACAAAATACTTATTTTTAGAGGAATGAGAACATGGAATTTCCTTGATTTTTAAAGGGGATCCATGATTAGTTGTAACATTAGACTTTATTTAATAAACAAATATTTTCACTGTAAAATAAAGACTGTAAAAATACTGTATGCCYTTTAGTTTTGTAAATTTTAAAAAATATATTTATGTTTTGCCAGTTATGTGAGAAAATGGGTAAAATCACATTTTATGCAAGGTTTCTTATATAAAATGTGTTTTCTTTGACTTATTGTATTTGATGATAGGCATGTCACAGACACTTTAAAACTACTTTATATTCTGATGTTCATCACTGTCTTCATTTTAATAGCTGAATTTTAACCAAAAACAAACTTTATTTCTTATAATATAATAAAAACCTTTCTTTGTGTTGAGCCAAAGTGAAGAACATTTAGATTTAAACTCTTCTTTCAGAGACTAATATCAGTTTCTGCTTGAACACAACTTGTGGGAAGTGTGATGACTTGAGTTGTTCAGGATCAATAAGACGGTGCAGGAGTCTGATCCGGGTCATGACTGCACTGACATGTTGGTGATGGAGGTGTGTGTCAGAACTCACTGTCGCAGCACCGTTGACCTGCACTGATTTGCTGGCGGTGGACAGAGTGCCGGGAACTCGCTCCACAGATTGCTGCACCTCCTTGGGCTTGGCCTCGGTCGCCTTCACCTCCCTGAAAGTTGGACATGGAGGACGTCAGAACAGCTACAGCTGAACTTACTCTCCCCAAAAGCGGCGGCGCTCTGGTCTTACACTGAGGCGGAGGGAGCGGGGCTGCGAGGCGAGCTGGGAGCCGGGCTCGGTGTCGGGGTGGAGGCTGTGGTCGGGGTTGTCGGTGGGGGCTGGAAGCTGGGGGTTACTGGAGAGCTGGAGGACCGGAGAGGCTCTTTGGGACCTGCTGGGGACAGAGCTCCGGCGCTGCTGGACTCGGTGCTTACATTCTGAAACAGGAACAAAATCCAGCAGTGTTTAAACAGAAACTCATCAATGTGCAGGAACAGAAAATGTAAAGAGCTCCATGTTCGGTGGGGTTTACCCGCTCCTTGGGGGGTACGACCGCTTCCTTGCTGGCCAGTCGGCTCTCAAACACACCGTCGGTCTTGAGTTGGCCCGCTGCTCCTGGAAGTGGAGGGAAGCTGGAGAGACCGAGCTCGAAGTTGGGAGACGGGGGTTTGGGAGGAGGAGGGGGCGACTGAGGAGTCGCTCTCTGCGTAGCAACAAGAAACGCAAAGTCAGCACAAAACTCAGAGATGATTAAAGACAGACAGCATCTGACAGAACATCTGCATCGTCAGGATGAGTTTAAGAATAAAACAGAACTTACTGTAAACTTGTCGTCCCTCTTTTTCCTAGAAGCAGAAACATTTTTCCTTTAAGACAGAGAACATCTTAATTTACAAACATCCCTACTGTGGTAAACTGTGACCTCACGCAGAGCTGAAGCAGCTCAGAGAACTTACAGAAGCTGAAGTTTGAACCATAAAGCATTTACTTTTTTACTCATTAACTCGTCTGTGTGTTAGGAGACAGGAGTGAACCTGAGTATTAATGTTCAAACTGACTGAACGTGAGCTTCAGGACAGTCCTACCTTCCTCGACCGACTCCCAGGAAGTAGTCTGGCGTTGAGGGTTCAGTGACGCGCCCGGTGCCCACGGTGTCTCTGCGGGGGAAGGCCGTGTTGGAGGATAATCTGCTTCTGGGCTGACTGGTGGGCAGTCGTGTTTGGGGGCTGCTACGGATGCCGTTGAGCCTCTCGCTGGGGAAGGTGTGGAACAGGGTGGGACTCTCCAGGAGCCCGGGGCTGGGGTCTGTTGTGGGGATGGTGGGCCTCAGGTGAGCTTTGCTGTGATTCCTGGGACGAGAGACAAACAGGAATTAACTGAAGCTACAACAACGCATGATGGAAAACAAAGTAAGTTTTAAMGAAACGCATCGATTTCTAAGATCCTTCAGCTGAGAAACAAACCTGTTCCTGGGGGAGAAGTGTCGGACTGTGAGGGGCGACGTCGCTGGTTTGAAACTATGGGATGTGGTAAAACCATTGATGAACTGGTTGTTGTGAAATTGAGGAACCTGGAAAAAAAACATTTAATGTGATGGAGAAGAAGTGAGAAACATGCAAACCAAAGGTTTTTATTTATGGCGCTGTATGAGGGTGAAAAGTGCAACCAGTGGTTGCTACATCCTTGTAGCAGGAGGCTATATCTAATCCTAAACCAGCTACTGATCTGATTAATGATAGACCGGCACCGCTAACTGTAAGACCGGCGCTGGCAAATGAGACTATTCAATCGTGTTAGCATCAGAAAGGCTAGTAACTAGCATGAATAAGCTTGCGTTAGCATCGGAGAGGCTAGTGACTAGCATGGATAACCTGGTATTAGCATCAGAGGCTAGTAACTAGCATGGATAAGCAGGTGTTAGCATCGGAGAAGCTAGTGACTAGCATGAATAACCTGGTGTTAGCATCGGAGAGGCTAGTGACTAGCATGAATAAGCTGGCGATAGCATCGGAGAGGCTAGTGACTAGCATGGATAACCTGGTGTTAGCATCGGAGAGGCTAGTGACTAGCATGAATAAGCTTGCGTTAGCATCGGAGAGGCTAGTAACTAGCATGGATAAGCTGGTGTTAGCATCAGAGAGGCTAGCGACTAGCATGAATAAGCTGACGTTAGCATCGGAGAGGCTAGCGACTAGCATGCCTGGGCTGCTCAACTACTTTATTAGACAAACTTTTTTGAATAAAGAAAACTTTTTCAACAAAAATATTTGACATACAAAACCTRTAAGCGACATGCACTGACAGGTGTCCTTAGACAGAATTTATTGTCCAACATGACGGAGCCGGCCTCATTAATCAGATTAATAGCTCCTGCTACAAGGATGTAGCAACCGCTGGTTGAGCAATAGTCTTAATTTTGACCCTCATACTGCACCATATTTATTAGACCTAAAAAGAAAATAAAACCTGACGAATGAACAGAAATATTTGATTTTCATCTCAGACTCAGACTGTTCATATTTTTATGCCCTTCACACAAAGCTTTTATTTCTTTAATGAAACCGTGTTGAGCACCTGACAGAGAGGAAGGTCTGGGTCTTACCAGTGRCGGGTCGATGAAGCTGTGAGTGGTGGACCAGGCCTGCGGCGTGATCAGGCTGTACAGAGGGAACTGCTGCTGGGGGCTGTAAACTGGTGGGATGTAGTAGGACGTGTAGCGCTGCTGAGCATACAGGTTCACCTCCATCGGCCGGTAGCCGTTCTTTGGCATGAAAGTGTTGATCGCAATCGCCTTGGCCTTTATCCTCGCCTGACGGAGAGGCAGGGCAGGTGAGGACGTCTAAACTAAAAACTCCAGTCATACTTTGTGGTTTGAATCAAAATTGGTTACCTTAATTGGTTTCCCTTGGAACGTCTTGACTTCCTCTCGGAGATACTGATATGCCTTTAGAAATAAACAGATTTAAAGAACTCGTGTTTAAAATGTTCCTTGGTTTTATTTGCACAATGGAACCAAACCATTTCAACATAATTTAAATWAAGTTTAACATTACCTGCTGTGCATCTGCTTCTGATTCAAAYGTGATGAACCAGTTGTCGTTGTAGGCAAATTCACAGTTGATAAACTTGGGTAAGTTGTCTCCTTTGAAAAGGGCTTCYACTTCCTGCAGAATAAAACAGATTAGTGTGTGAGGCGCTGCAACAGATTTTAAAAGAAATAAAGCATAAGCCAACAAAAACATGGTCAAATTAACAAAACTGGTTAAATTATTAAAAACATGAACATAAAAAGGTAAAAAGTTAAATTTGTGCAACAAACATCTGTGTACCAACATCTCCATCATCTCATTTATTAAAAGTGAAAACTTGACAATCCAAAACAAATGATCTAATAACAGAAGAACCAAATATAATTAAACTAAATCAATAATTACTGGTCAAATACGACAACAGCAAGTATGCAAACAACAAAACCGATTTATTTTGAAAATATTTCCTGAAACTCAAAATGAAAAAAACTATTGTTGACCACGCTTTTATTTTGAAAGAACCAAAAGTAAGTAAATATGTTTGAACGCAGAACAGCTGTGTCGATTTTACAGAAAATATTCAGGCAGAGGTGCTTTATTTACTGATACAGTAGAAACAAATGTTTTAATATGTCTTCTAAGTTTCCCTGTAAACTGTGAGGTTTATACATCTGAAAGAAAAGACAAATAAAKAAGTGCAGTTCATGGTGTGGGTAAAGTGTTAAACCATATGAAACCAAACCATAAAGCAAACAGAAAGATCTGTTTATGTTCTGGGTGTGGAGCAGAAATGAATAAAAACATCTAGTTTATGTTGGCTCCTGGTAGAAAACGGCCTCGGTGGGACGAGGTGAACGCACACTGACCTCGATGGGGGTGCACTCTGGAACCTCTCTGAGGATCACGATGCATCGGTTCTGATTGGGTCGCACCTTCTCCCCTTTCTCATCCACCTGGACCAACGGCAGAGCTGCAGAAAGTCACGAAACAGGAGTTGCAGATATTAGCAGCTGCTGAAAGGAATCAAATCAGTGACATTTTGCTAATTATCATGTGTTTGTTTACCTACAAAAACAGCCAAAGTGACTGAACTGATACCGGCTACAAACAGCTGATTTATCCTACTTCGATTTGTTTTACTTTTATATTTTTATTAAAAAAAAAAGACCCAAACCACAAAGTCTGGCGTGTTTAAGACTGACCGTGTTTTTAAAATCACAAAACCGATCGGCCGCTCCTCCTCAGAACTTCCCAGCATTTGTTTCTGCTATTGRACTTTATTTTGAAAGGACCATAAAGTGGAAAACATGATCAAAAGTGAGCTTAYCTTTCCCGCCAGAACACATTCATCGGTTCACTGAATATAAAGATTAAATATTCAACAAGAAAACTGAATATTTTTTGAAAAATTTAAACGTTTTTGATTAAAACGTCCATCCTTTGTATTTGCAGAGTCCAGTGCTGAGTTCAAACATCAAACCAGAAGCTATTTATTGTSTAGATCAATATCTCAATACCCTGTCAACTTGAGCAACTTCTCCCTCTGAAAAAAAAAAAATGCAGTTCAATAAACCACAGTCAGCTTTAGTTCCTGTCGTGGACATCTATCTTTCTGAAACAAATAAATCAGCAGAAGATGAAGAACCTTGTTCAGATGTGTCACCGACAGGTCACTATATGAAAACTAAACAGCAGATGAGATATTCTGAATATTCCAATGTAAATTAAAAAAAGCTCTACACCTGAGAATCTACTCTAAAAACAGAAGGTGTTCTTACAGCTCAGGTGAAAAGCAGGACTAACTTTATAAAAACAACAAAGCTGCACAATAACAACACATAAAAGACAACCAGGCCAGAGGATATGAGAAACAAAAAAAATAAAGATTTGAGAAAACTGCGTAACCAATAACACCGTAGAGCTGTGAATTTACATAAAGTAATTTGTCTGAGTTTAATGAAAGCAATAATGGAGCAAACAACAAAGCTTTTCRTTGTTAAACAACAAGCTGCTGCAGAATTAGACAAGATCCTGGAGTGTACAGACCACTGAGCCGGAAAATAAAAGCATGCCTTTGAGCCAGGTAGAATTCATTTAGGCTGTAAATTAAATACGCAACACGAGCAGGTAAGACTGTGCACTTTAAAGAATGAACTCAGACCACTTCCTGCTTCTAWCAACTCAGGTAGGGTCCGTCTAACCAGCAGGGCTGAAGGCTGAAAGAGAACGGAGCTCACAGCGYAGGATGTCCACGATCAGCTCCACGTCAGTGCTCAGCTTCTTGACGTGGTCCAGGTTGGCCACCGTCACAATGGGGACGTACTGGTCYCTGTCCATCTGGGAGATGAGGTACATGTCGCTGGCCAGGTTCTCCCTGACGAGACAGACAGACGGACAGTTAGCAGTGTCAGTTACGTTTGTGCAGCACAGGAAGCAAACTGTCCCACAGCTTRACCTCATAAAAACATCATCAGTTAATTCAGATTTTTAAACTTAAAGCATTTGATTATATGATTTCAAAGAACCACAAACAGAAGGAATGCATTTAAAGCAGGGCTATTCAACTGGCGGCCCGCAGGCCACATCCGACTCGCGAGTGACCAAAGTTCGGCCCGCCAATTGGTTCATTCATCGCTCAAGCCCAAACCCCTGGTTTTCTACTTTAATTACTCTAAGTTCTTTTAGTTAAACATAGACATGTTTGGTATCTACAGAAACGTCAGAATCWTGGCTAGAAGCTGGTAAAAACCACTTCTATAAACACCCCTGAGCTGTTGACCTGCAGTAACTGTGGCCCCCGGAGCAGTTTAGTTGAATAGCCCTGATTTAAAGTGATTGTCAGCAGCAGAAAGAATCACAAATACATCTGCTGCTGGAGTTAAGAGTCAGACAAACTGAGGTGATGTTTCTCTGGTCTGATCTGAGAGGCTGTTTGTTCCACGCAGACATTTACAGAAAGGAAACGTTAACTTTCAGTGTTTGTTTCAATATTTACAGACACTTTAAAAGAAAACTCTACTTAAGCAAACAGATTTAAGCACCAAGACGACTGTTGTGGTTCAGAATTCAGAACATCACAAGACATTTCAACATTTAACAACCTGAATAACTTTATAAACTCTGAGTAACAAATGAGTGGTTTTTACTGAGGTCTTTGGACCGTGGCTCCTAAAGCTCTGACTGGCTTTACTTTTTGACTGCTTCACTTACAAAACAAAGGAAAGCAAGGCGCTGCGGGTTTTCCTGTTTTCAGTTTCTAACATCTTCTGTTAACCAAACTCTGGCTTTAATGAAGTCTTTGTTTTTGTGGTGGTTTTTAGAAAACTAATCTTACAGAAAACCTTTGTAGATGTGTTGAAAACAGATCATTTTTAAGACTTTCTTCTACTCTACAATTCTAAGACCAACTAAGAACAAAGCTCTGTTCCTCTGGTTGAACATCCGTTTTAAGGACTGACTAAACTAAAGTCAGCAGAGCGGCACACGGAGCGCAGAAACATTTCTGTTTTCTGTTCACATGTGGGCGGCCGGGCGGCGTGTTCCAGCTGTGAGCAGATGCCGTCCCTGGAGGACACAAACAGATGATGACYCTGACGTCACACGAAGCCCCGCTGACCCTCGAGGCTCAACTGATAACAGCTACGATGTGAGCTTCACAGGAAAGCTGCAGTTTATGGCCGATGGCAGCCAGGATCTACGGTTTTACAAGACAGGAAGTGAAGATGCTCACAAAACACCTCGTTTCTTTAATCTTCTTCGGGTCCTCTGAAGCAGCTTCTGTCCATTAAAAACAGTAAAACCAGTAAAGATAACATTTTTCTTTCAGAATTTGAAGACAGTCTGAAGTTTTGTGCTTCTGATTTCCTTTTACCTGTTTTTAAATAAACTATTTTTTGTAAAACCTTTTAATAACGTCACTCATGAAAACTAATAAAATAAAATCTGATCACAGRACAACTTCACGCTGATGAGGTTTTGTTAAAAATGTATTTTACTAACAGCATTCATTAGACCAACCCACTCTAACGCTGTCAGTCATTCTGGTGTTGAAAAGTAGAATGACGTCATCGAGCTGAGCTCACCTGGACAGACAGAACTCCAGGGTCTTTTTCAGGAGCTCTCTCAAGCCGTCCTGGGTGCTGTCAGGCTGCAAATCACCACTGCCTGTTGACAAAACAAAGAAAAGAGAGAAGAAAATAATTATTTTTGGTTTAATAAATAAATTTAACAAATACTTTATGAAATCTGGAGCCATAACACTTCAAACGTAAGGCTACGCTCACACTGCTGGTATTAATGCTCAGTTCTGATGTTTTGGTGTGAATGTTTACATTACATTTTAAAATTTAAACTCCAGTATGAACCCCTCAGGGAACTGATGCGACACACACACGCAGAAAATGACCCGATGTCACATTCAGCTCACCATTTACAGACTTAGCTAAACATGGATGCTACATGTTAGCATYTTTCTGAAGTTGTGCAATCAGAGCAGATTCAATAATTATACTTGTTTAGTTCAGTGTTTATATTTTGACCCGTCTGGTCGGCTGCTCCGGTGCACAGTTTTATTTCTGAATTTAAATATGGATCCAGTAATTTTAGGATCCATACGGTCTGAAACTGACGCTACCGTGGATTCTCAGTCCTCCAGGACATGGAAAAGTTACAGGAGCTACAGGATCTAAACTTCATGACTCGAGGTCAGTATCATCATCTGGATCAATCTGCTCAGCTCCACCTCACAGATGTAAAGGTCAGGTGAAARGAGACGAGTGTTCAGACTGCAGTCACTTTGAAAAACATCAGARATGGATCTGATTCAGCTCACACTGAAAAGACCTCTGATAAAAAAAATAATTTGTCAGGTTCAGACCATCATTAAAATCTGATATGGGTAACATGAAGGGAAATAAAATAAATCAGATTTGAGTCACATTTACCTGCAGTGTGAACAGAGATCTGATCTGAATGAAATTATGATTGACTGAAATGAAAATAGCTCAAAGAATATTTAACATAAAGGGGAAATTTGCTATTCTAGCAAGAAATTGTAAAAAAAAAAAGGTAAAAAAAATACTATTAGTAAAATTCAGAATATCTTGGAAATCAATATTGAAGGTTTGAAGATTGTAACAAAACTCACTATCTATTTAGTTTTTATTGCTTATTCAATTAATTGAACTTTCTACAAGTTTCCCTTTAAACAAGAACTCAATCAGTCTCTACAAGTATTTCCACAGGATAACGAGGTGAGAGTAGTTGATAAATTATGTATCTTGTGATTTAATGTTTTAATGAATATTATCCTTCTTTTAACTTTGTTTGTTGACTTTTTCCTTTTAAAAAAAAGGCACTTAAGAGACAAAGTCTGGTGACAGATACGATCTGGGATGGACTAATAAAACGTTAATGTTGTGATGAATTAAACTTTAACCAACAAATGGCTCTTAAGTGGTCAATTTCCTCCAAAGAATGAKCTTTTGAAAATAGAAACAAACCTAGGATGGATCTCATCACCTGCAACATCAAATTAAGAGCAGTAATGCCTAACAGGTACCTTCAATTACTGCTAATTGATTTATGTTTTAGACCAGAACCAGAACCAGCTAAAACAACAAAGAATCACTTCACTGCTTAGTTACAGCTTAAATCCTCACTAAAATACAAATGTTTTAACTCCAGAATTAAACACACACAAAAATACACATTTTCTACAATCAATCAATCTGCTTATAACAGCATGAGACCCACATGAGACCCCTCATGTTTTCATCATTAACCAGGCCCTCACCTGTCCGGTTCCAGGTACTGAACCCACTCAGACCCTCTCCTGACCCAACAACCAGCCTACCTGTGCTCCCCGGCTGCCCAGGCTCGGGGTATTCTGTGTAGGTGGGCTCGGAGCACTCCAGTGTGACGGGGGCCGGCTCGGCCAGCATTACTGGTTCTGGTGGAGGCTCATCTGGGTCAGTTAGCAGAGGCTCCTTGTAAGCTTTGTCCTCACTGGCTTCAAAGCCTGTCACAGTCAACATTAAAATGTTTATTTTAAAAAAAAGCAACAAGATGCAGTCTCCAACCTGACAAAGATCTGTCAAAACTGAACACAAACAAAGGATGTGTGACCTGTTTTTTAAAATTTAAATTTTTACATTTGCCACTCTTACAATCAGACTAGTGTTGAACATTATATGTTTTAAAAGTTCATGACAACCATTTCAGATGGAAACTTGATGTGTAAAGAAGTTTTAATAGGGAAAGAATCAGTTGCTGCACGGCTAATTAAACCCATAAATTATTGCTGCAGAGTTTTAAAAACATGAACATGGAAATGAAGTCAGGTTGAGCTAAAACCAGATTCAGGTGAAATCAGAGAGCTGTGCTTAAATAAAACAGAATCAAACAGACCTTTAACCACACAAAGAACTTCCATTAAATTAGAAATTATTTTCTCCAACACCAATGAGCTTCGGTCCATTTTCAGCTTTGTTTGAAATTAGCATATAAGCTGCCATTTGCAGCAGAACAACAACAAAAACTGCATTTTTCACAAACCCAAAATAAACCCTGACATTAAAGCACCACCTCCATCATTTGATTGGCAGGTAATGTGTGGGAAAATACACTTGGCATCAGAAATTACTCTAGTTTTTATTTTAAAAGGCAGTAAAGCTGCAATTACCTGCTCTGCAACAGGAGATCACACATCCTGGGCTTTTATACACCCAGAAAGGACATTTACTCTAAATACTGCAGAAAGTTCTTTAGCAAAGATTATTCATGTGTGCCTCTAAAGAGGATTACTGAAACACGAAACACTGAGTAAATATTCAGAGTACTGAGACTTTGTGACGTATGAGACAGCCTGAGTCTCGTCTACGAAGGAGGGCTCGTTTAAAAACAATAATGCAGAAAGAACAAGAAATGAACCCAAATGTATTAAAAAAATTAAAACAAAGTGCTCAGTTTTATYAATTTATACTTCTGGATAAATCAGGGTTCCTACAGTTTAAGGCAAGTTAAATTTAAGACTTTTTAATGCCAAGTGAAATCAAATTTAAGACCAATTTCACATTAAATACAAATGACAAAAAATAAAATAAAACTGTGGCAGAAACTCATGAATCCAAAGTAGTTTTGGTTGAATTATTCAAATATTGCTAAAAGACCAATTGTTTTTATCCATATCTAACTGCTATTTGGTCAAACATAGCAAAAAAAACCTTCTTAGCAGTCAGTTTTAAACTTAATATCATTCCAGGAAATCCTCAAACGACCCAAAATTTGTAGTTTTAGGACCCACAGTGGGMTCTCAACCCCAGCTTGCTGTAGATGAAGCATTAAAGTGCATGTGACATCAAATTTTTGTAAGAAATATGAATGTATTTTTGGAAAGACAACATTATTAACATATTAGAAAACAAATTTCACATTGCTCAGATGGACGGTTGTTGAGATATTTACATGTGAAACAACAGGAAGTGATGTCATAAGGGAACATATGAATGGGAATATTTCAAAAATAAATAAATGTTACCAATTATTTTAATATTTGATATGAATTACAGTCATCCTACTTACAATGTGTCGACATTTTTAAGACTTCTGAAGATTAATTTAAGACATTTTAAGGCTAATTAGGGCCTTATTTTTGGATTGATGAATTCAAGGCCTTTTAAGACTTTTTAAGGATCCGCAGGAACCCTGTAAATGAAATATGATAGAAAAAAAACTTTTATACCACTTAAACTTTGCAGGAGTTTAGAGATGTTTTATCAGCCATCAGGGACAGATGTTGGGTTTCCAATAAAACACATAAATACACATGATGTGTATAAAGTTCTGTTACTCACAGGTATACAGGAGGGGAAAAAAACAGAGACAAACTCACAATAAGTCTGGTACGTCAGAGACCACTACATTATATTAATGGTTCAATTATAGTGAGTCAGATGTCTAATAAATTTTCCATGAGCGTAAAAAATGAAAGAGGCCAAGAAGTTAATCAGAGTCAAAGTCGAGCTAATCAATAGTTTGTGTTTCTGCACCATGGCCCTGTTGCCTCTGCAGCGGCTGCGCTCGTCTGCGTGCGTTAAAATGAATGAATCCAGACGTTTGTGTCGAGGGAACGCTGACAGTGGCTGGAATATTCATGCATCATATTAAATTAGGTATGAATGTTTAAAGAGGCGTATTTTTTCATACAGAAAATGTGTGTGGAGCGAGGCGGACAGAAAAGAAAAATAACTGTTGCTGTGCAGGAACAGACAATCTGGGCTTATACCCACTTTAATGTTTCAAATCCACCCGAACCTTCAACTTGAAATCAAACGTCTACATTTGTTTTAATCACTTTTTAAATCATGCAAGGGCCAACCATGACTAGTTTACAAATTAAAAACAAAACTGCAGGATTTTGGAAGAGTTCTACTGATAAACTTCAGAGATATTTGATGTTTGATCACAATGTTTGAGAGGAGTGACACCTCCAGGTACCTTCTTTTAGTCGTCCCGCTCTGTTTAATGAAACTAAAAGGCTGACTGGTTTGGTTTTACAGTTCTGTTGGGCAAAACGCAACACCGAACCTTTTAAGCGGAACGCCACTATTTTATATGCCAGCAGTTTTACACAATTTCTGCTGAGAAGTTTGTGTCGTTGCTACAATCTACACATACACTGCCTGGCCTAAACAAGTGTCCACCTGGGTTTAACTCAGGTCTATGATGTGGGGTCTCTGCAGGTGGTCAGGTCTAGGTTCAGCAACAGTCTGTGCTCAAAGAATGAGGTCAGCTGACTACCTGTGGCYCGGCCTTCTCAGCTCCAATGCCGTAATTATTCCAAACAAAAAAAGAAGCTGTGGGTGGCAACAGGTGGTTCGTTTCTTGAACGCACTTCCAACTTGATGGTTTGAAAAAATATATATCATTTATTTTTAGTAACAAAAAAAAAAAAACACAACAACAAAATAATAACTGATAATTTCTTACAACTTAGGTGACAACGAAAAATAATCTAATCTGATTTTATAAGTTTCAAAAAGTGGTCAAAAAAATCATTTTACCAAAACCTCCCATTGTCACACCGGACATTTGACAAACAAAAACACATCTCCACCACATCCCACGGTGTGTTCTTAATCACTTAAATMAATGGGAGGGTCTAAAGATTAAAGTAATTCTAACGTTTTCAAGAACAATAATTAAACTGCAGGTTTAGGTTACAATTTAATTTAAGTACATTCCAACTATCAAAAGTGAAAACAAAAACAAAAATTTAATTTAATTTAAAAAATGAAAAATATATATATTATATAGTATATATCATTTTTACCTAATTTCAAACATAAATAGCCACAACAAATTGAATATACTGAATGACCAGATTATTCCTTCAGTGGATTGTTTTTTTTTTATCCCTGATGGCACAGCCATATTCCAAGATGACATCAGGATTCATTGAGCTCTTATTGTGAAAGAGTGGTTCAGGGAGCACGAGACATCATTTTCACACATGGATTGGTTCCACAGAGTCCAGTGAGAATGTTTGGGATGTGCTGGAGAAGGTCAGACTCTACCATCATCAACGCAAGATCTTGTTGAAAAATTAATGCAACACTGGATGGAAATAAATCTTGTGACATCGCAGAAGTTTATCCAAACAATACCACAGAGAATGTGTGCCAAACAAATATTGGAGTGTGTGACCTTTTTTTATGGCAACTTTTTTTTTGGCCAGGCAGTGCACATGTTGACTATTATAAAAAATCACGTTCCTCTGCACCTTGCAAATTTTATCTGGGAGTTTTAAAATACCCTTACATCAATCTATCCAAATATTTGACCTATGAAAAGATTAAAAACACTAAATATAATCAAGAATATCAAGATGTAGGACCTGAATGAACCAACTGGGATTATTTGCTTTCAGTCAATAACACAATAAAATAAAAACAGATCCAACTGAAAGCGCTACGACCAAAAGAAGTGACTGTAAGTTGAGAAGTATTCAGAATGTTGTGTGCATCCCAAGCGGGCGGCTGACCTTCTGGGCCGGGGTCGTCGGAGCTATCGCAGCCTTCCTTCCATGGCTGCAGGGCAGCAGTTGTGGTGTCAGCAGTCCCGCTGGAGTCCAAGCTAAACATGTGGTTGGCCCATGCTTTCGCATTAGGGTTGAGGTCTGAAACCTTGGCGGATTCCTGTGAAAACACAGCACAGGGTTCTGGTCAGAGATGCCGGGATTTTACTGATCCGTATCGAAACATCAAGAGGAACAAATGAGTCGGGCTGGTCAACAACGTTATGGTATTTTTGTTTAAAAAATTTTAATAAAACTATTTAAATCATAAAGGGAAAGTTCACTAATACAAAATCATGTTTAAAATTTTAATGTATTGAAAAACACAAGGGTTCCAAACAATATAAAACTATATTTAATATATTTATTCTGTCTAATAACAGCTAACAGAGCTGCTGACTGAACAGTTTTACCCACGAGTTAAGCTGGAGTCTGAAAATCATTTACATAATCCAATTTGTGTTTGTATGTCTGTTAGCAAAATATCTCATGAACTACAGGAAGAATTTAATGAAACTTTCAAAACAATCATTGGGTGTACATCTAAACTGAATGGGAATAAGGTTTAATTAAAGTGAAAATTGGGAATATCTTTGTCAAGGTTTGACCCAAACACCAGCGTTATTTTTAACCCCAACTCTGAAGGCTTTTATTTATTATGCACAAGTTTCTGTTTTAATTGGTTTGAGTTTGAGTTTTTATTTCTCATCTCAGCGTGTGTGTGCAACAACAGATAAATAAATCATGACTTGGGTTTGAGCAGATGAGCCAGGAAGTCAAGCAGCAGCATAATGAGACAAATGATGTATTTGAAGGAGCAATCTGCRGTGAAAGTTTTACGTGTGAGAGAACCAGAGCACACTGGAGAAAGTAAACATTAGAACAGAGAGGGAAGCTAAACTGAGCACAGAGAACACAACTCTTTGATCAATCACACCGGCCAATAAAAACACTTAGTACTGGGCGGTATACCATTCTGTACCAAAAACCGGTTATTTTTGTTATGATATGAATTCTGAATACCAGTGTAAATAGCCTGAACATGTGCAGAACGTTTCGTCGCAGCCGCCAGTGAACTTTTTCCCTGGGGGCACGTTTCCTTGCAGCACCGCTAAGTGCATTAGCATGCTAACGTTATTGTTGGAACAACTGGCGGCGGGTGGTYTGTTTCAGCTGCTTATATTGTCTGATGTTAAAGAAAACATCCAGTTTTCACCATCGCTCAATAGTAAACAACTCTTCAGTGATGTGCACTGTTAGATTTAACGCGCTACGTTATAATGGAGACATTATTGCATGGAGACTGTAGCGTGCTTCTATTGTGAAAAGCCCGAGGGAAGTAGTTTTGTAGTGTAGCAAGGTTGACTGGTGTGCAAGGTGAGTTGTCCTTTTAAGTTTTATTAACACGTAACTATAGACCAGATAATGTTTTTTTTCCTCAATCCTTTACGATCGGACCTAAATGCGTTATCACTGTCTACAACCAGGAAAAGAAGAAAAGACGTACATGAGGAAGAAACCGTGATACAGAGGTACAGTAAAAGAAAAAAGTCAATAAGCAAAGTTTGTACATTTTATTATCAGCTGAGCTGTGAGGGAAAAAAATACAGTTAAATACTGTGAAACCAGTGTAATTGTTGAAAATACCGTGATATAAAATTTGGGTCATACCGCCCAGCACTAAAAACACTGATTATAAAGAATCAAAACACAAAATAAAACCTATTTTATGGAGGTTACAGCTAATTTTCGCCTGTTGAAAGCAGCAGTAACAAAGGACAGGCTGGTGATGGAGCCAACTCACAGGCCTGCTAAATACTCACAGAATCCAAACAGTAATTCAGCATGCACGTCTCACAGGTCAACAGGCTGTAACTCAGAGCCGTGGTGAGAGCCAGCGTCTCACTCAGCTCCTGTGGCCCAGGAGYCCAAGCGTTTCCCCTCGCTGGTGCCACGAAGCTCCACTGCATCCAATCCATGACTAAAACACGTAAACACAACGTCTCTGCGAGCAGGTGGAGGACGACGTCCGATCATCATCAAACCTGGAGGTCTGAGCCGGGGGTCCTGCACAGCTACGCCTCTCTGAGTCAGTCTGATCCGAGCTGCTGCTGCTGCATTGATTCAACAAATCTGATGACAGCACCGAGGCTCTGCTGCCCTGGTGAGCCAGGCTGACGTTGCACAAGCTGAGTGGCTGTCTTGCTCCTGCTCAGCATCCTTGTCTGTTTTTGTTTTGTCACTGTTGCACTGACTCATTTTTCTGGGAAAACGAACGTTAGAGCCGTACGCGAGAGTCGAGTTGAAACGATCACCTTAAATCGATCCGTTCGAGATAAGACGGCCCTTTAAAGCTTTTGTTTGGGAACCGATTTCCCTGCTAACGAGCAGAGGTGCTGAAAGTGTAATAAAGATGATGAGAAACCTGTTTTTATTAAAGAGGCAGCAAGTTGAGACAAGAAAAACAGATTCAAGGAACAGTAGAGAGAAAGAGAGAGAGAGACTAGTCTGACCAGATACAAAATGAGATGCTGAACTAACAGATCACTCAGGATGCGTCTGGCCCCAACACACACGCACGCACGCACGCACGCACGCACACACACACACACACACACACACACCTATGCTAATAATTCAGCCTTGCTCCAATGCAGATCTCCTGTCCGAGCTGGCTGCCATAGAAACCGCTGCTGACATCACCGGATGTGTACGTCCGGGGCTTCGCTTGACCTTTAAAATYTTTCCGATTCCTCCGAGGACGGAAAGGTTACCCCCTGCCCTGACTGAGAGTGCGTTTTGACGAGGAACCTACAAAGTGATTCATGGAAAGAAGAAGAGGAAAATTATCGGTGTCGTTTGAGGAGAGCTGATGTCGCTCTGGTTTTATTGCTCTGACTTCCTGACGGAGGCGAGCCCGCCATCACGGGCAGAGAGTAAGAAGAGRGACGACACGAGAGTCAAACAGGAGAACAAACACAAACCAGCCCAGTCTGGACTCATCTGTCTCTGCAGACCTGAAGCTCCTCTTCATTATGTGCAGACTAAACAGGTTTAAGAGGGAAATGCACCAAAACTAGATAAAAACACTTTTCCTCCACCGTCAAACTAACAGACYAGCTGCGAGGTTACTGAGTAACCCAACATCTTTAGGCAAACAGCGCTCACAGCTGGTGTTGACTGAGAAAACCTAGAAATAATAAGGGTGGAAGGTAAAATCTATTTTAGATGCATCATAAAAACGTGAACAATTTTATTTATGACATATATTTACAAAGGCATAAAACAGTTTTGTTAATAACAATCTTTGTTGCTGCTTTAAGAGAGGCAGCAGTGTTTTGGTGATGGACAATCCTGAGGTTTTACTGCTTTCAGAAGATTTTTGTTTTCATTCCTTGAATTAGAAAACATTTTATCGTTTAAAAATTCTCAAAATTTGATACAGGTATGTTTTCTTAAAAAAACGTGTTAAAAAAAGTCATTACCTGTGTTTCCATTTACTTTTTTTATGCGCTTTTTGAAGTATCCCATTAGAAAAGCTGGATGGAAACAGCAAAATTCACAAAAAACTTGCTCAATTTCGCAAAAAAGTTTATACGTTTGCTTGAGGTGGTTTTRGGATTTCCTGAAAAAAAAGAGTTAATGCACTAAAGAGGAGGTGGAAACACAATTGCTGAATAAGTTCTGGCGTAGTGAACATTTACCTCCATCAGCTGTACCTGCTGTCTAATAATCGTACCGACTGCAGATCTACCCTCCCCCGCTGTCTGCGTGTTCCCAGATATTCCCGTAACGTGAGGAGAATTGCATTTCTTTCTCTACGTCACCAGACAGCACGTAACATCACCTAAACTAGCTGATGACAGAATAATAACTTTCCCGATAGCAGCAACATGTCCTGAAAGAAAGTTTGTGACTTTACTTCCTGTTTACTACAGCCATGTCAGCGTCTCACATAATTACACTTAGCATAGCCTGGTTGATTCACTCCAAGCCAGTTGATGGAAACAAGTCTGATTTCACACTCTTTTGACATTCTAAACATTTGCATTAAAACTGGATGGAAACGCGACGAGTATCTCCTGATGGAAGCATCTGTGTAACTACAGCACAATTTACCAGATGGTTTTTAAAGCACAAAATTTAAAACCATTCTGTTGCTTCAAGACATATTTTCCTACAAGTCCCAAGTTATGTAAAAACTGTGTTGTGACAATAAGGACATCATTTTAGGAGTCGACCACATGTCAAAGCTGCTGATAGCTGTTAATATCAGCCCTGAGCTGACGGCACAGCTTCTCTGTACTGCAGGACACACCTTACAAGACGACTAATGTTCTCTGAAAACAATATAATTTATGGACTTATTATGGACAATAACAACAGTGACTTTCTCATTAACACTATTATCATTCTGGGGAAATTTTTCATCCATAAAGCTAAATATCTTAAGGTTAAACCAAATTTCTATCATTTTCACAATGACTTTATTTTGTACTGCAATTCTCTTAAAGTGATGCACACTGAACATGCCCACAATCGGTGCTCTTTAATTGAAGAGTATGATTTAACATCTAAAGCCTAGCCCCCTTTTTTTTGTTGTTCCTTCTTATTTTTAAACTTCTTATCTTTATTTGCACCCATCCTTTTCTCTTATATGCAAGTTTGTTTGTTTGTTTGTTTGTTTGAAATATGCCTTATTGTTTGTACATTGTATTATTTTGTGTGTTCTTTGTTGTTTAAAAAAACACTTCCTGAGAACTAGCAAAAAACCCGACATGTTAACATCATGACGTCGTTATTACTTGGAACCACGCAGTCATAGGAGGGACCATAGACACGTACAGTAGGGTTGTAAGAAAATATTGATACACTGAAATATCGCAATATTTAATTTCCCGATACTGTATRGATATTCTAAAGCCCTGTATCCATTTTTTTATTAAGGTTTAAAATGTCAACTTTCCTGCCAGCCATTTTGATGTTGTAGTTCAGCCTCTGACCACTAGTTGGCAGCAGTGAGCCTGCCATTTGGCTCCTCTACCCCTTGAGGTAGAGGCTATTGTTAAGTGTTGGGTGACCATATTGTAAATTAATATTAAAAACTAAAAGCTGCAAAAAATATATTTTCAAACTATTTATTGGCAAATTTAGTCTAATAATTGAAAACATGGATGAAATAATAAATATGAAACAAATAAAATAAAATACATACAAAGCAAAACACAGCTAAATGTATCAAAAGTATGTCTTTGTAATATTCGAATTTTCTGAGATAATGAATTTTGGTTTTTCATTTTTTCCCCAGTAAGAGGTTTTTATTTAATAGAATTTTTGGACAAAAAAAAATCGCAATATATGGCCTTGCTTACAGTATCGTAATATATCGGGATTTATCGTATCGTGACCCCTCTGTCATGATATGTATCGTATCGCCAAAATTCTTGCCAATACACAGCCCTAATGTACAGGAGAAATCCTACGGACTGGCGCTGCCTATCTGAGCCGACGTCGCAGTGCTGCCGCRATCTTGGATGGGTACCTCTCGCGCTCCCAGCGCATTTATTTGTACTAAGAAAGCTGTTCATCCGACTAAAATAATCGCAACTCCTTCACGTTTTTCAACCGAGTTGGTTTGTTACAAACAGCAGTGATGTAGTTATGTTATTGGAAATGGTCACACAATAAAAATAAAAGCTTTAAAAAAAACCTTACAAGACGACTGATCGTTTCACAGCATCCAAACACTGAGAAAAACAAAAACAATCTCCGGTTTTGATGATTGATTGATTACCTTCAGACTATTTACTTTGAACACTGGCAGCTATAAATAGGTCACAGTCAAGTTCTGGTGATTTTCTAACACATATGTGCAGGGCATATGGTGCATGACTCAGTCTGTGTGCAGGCAAGTGTGCGAATAAGATGAGGGTTTGGTTGCCCACGAGATTTAATTGTTTTAATTTAAATTCAGATTTTTATGTCCGACTTTAAGCTCTGTTGCTCTTGCCAAACTGTTTTGTAAATTATTACTCAGAAATACTGCTAAAACTAAAAGGCTCCTCTTCAGTGTTTTTACCAATTAATAAAATGGTTTCACTGCACTTTTTTATTAATATCAACATAAATGTAAATTTACAACATGCAATGAGCTACAACTTTTGTGTTTGGAATTTCATTTACTTCCTGCCATCCTGGGGATAAAACACAATTATAATAAAAATAATCTTTATTATATGGCACCTTCCAACAATGCCTTGCACTGACCAAAGTACTTCACAAGATAATGGGATAACAAAAGATTTTCCTCATTTTTTGACTCTAAATCTTGATATCCTGGTATGTGTGCATGAAAGCAGTATTTTGATTGTCTCACTGTTTTTCCAGCCACTTGTAATGACACCTACAGCCTGAAGCTTTGGCCCACTGGACTCCATCAGGCGGTAGTTTGGTCTTCCGTTTCCGATGCCTATCTTTTTTCCGCTCTTGAGCATGAGTGTGTGATGGTGGGAAAAAAACAGCAGGTTCTGTTCCTTTACTCATTTGGAGCTCTCAGGTAAAGGGACTTAGTCTTTGCCTGAAGGCCAGCCACTTACARTTCCTCGGCTTCGCATTCTTTCCGATTTGAAGTGGCTGATTAAAACTCACAAGGAGACCGGGAGGACAGGACGCTGTGCCAACGTTCTCAGTTCAAATCTCATTTTATGTCTGAACTGCAGCATCGATGCTTCCCACTCAAGAAATTCATATATCTAAAGAAAAAATCTGATTAACGAAAACCATTAAAACATCTTTTTTAAACATGCTATAAMCGTTGTACCTGAGGAAGAATCATCTGTAATCTGAACAGGATATACAACAGAGACCTAAAGCACCTTTCTCCTCAATTTAAACATCTGMAGCAAAATGCTGCAAAAATATTGATTTCCAATCCATACAGGGGACCCAGTGGTGCAATCAGGACACCAAGACTGGCACAGACTTAGTTCAGCTCTGCTGCAGGAGAAATGAAATAGTACCGCAGCTCAGCCTCAACACAAACAGCCGTGTGTTTTCACAGACATCAACAAGCAGATTAAAAGTTTGTGTTCACTTGCTACAGGCACGATTCACCAGATTTTCTCTGTTTGTTGCTGTGATATCCCACCCTGGTGACCACATTTAGCCTCGGCGGTATTTCCAAAAGTCTACCATGTGTTGCCATCAATCAAACGTGCAGGGCCGTGCAGTTCAGGAGAAACATAAATCACACGGGCCGTTCGACTGGCTCGAGGAGACTTTAGGGACAGAAAGCGGAAGAATTACCCCCACGGGGGTGTCTAAAAGTAAAACATACAGTCATAATCACCTTAGCATGAACAGTTCCTCCCCCTGTGTGGCACGCTTCAAACCTCAGGATGTTTTAGCTTCAGTTCCGCTCTCTGAGTTCACAGACGTTTGGCACAGCCAGTCAATTTCTTATCTCAACGTGCCATTCGTTCCCTTTGGAAGAGGCTTCTTTTCTACAACAGCTTCAAATGGACAGAAATTATATAATCTGAAATTGTGGTGGGGTGACATGTAGCAATCGAGGTTCCCTCGGTCCATTTTGATTTAAAAGAAAGTGACAATGCTACTTGTGCTTGCTCCTCACTACCATTTAAAGAGTTTTAAAGTTATTTTTGGAKGTACAGCTTGTGTTTTAACCCACTTCTGATTTATAATGTTTCTAACAGTGGCCCTCAAGAACCAGACAGACATTTTGATTACTTTTGGCAACATGTTTATATTTAATCTGTTTTTATTTAGCATTACTGTAAACCCACGAGACAAATAAAATGATGAATGCGACGGTCAGAATTGTTTTGCACTTAAAGCAGCTCCGAACATAAACCAGTCACACAAAAGATCATTTTACAGCAGCCTCTGACACTGTCCTATTGTATGAATTATTTTAACCAGTAAAAAATGTTTCCATCCAAGGAACACAAACCCATTTATAACCCTACCACCCATTTGCCCAACATCTGGGGACAAAGTGAAGAAATGACTGATGGCTGGTCGGGGTGATAACCCATCAGAGCTGAGGAAACGCAGCTTCAGATGGAGCATACAGAAAGAATAAGCAGAGCTTTCAATCGCTGCCATAAAAAAAAAAAAACAAGACTGACTCAGATTCACGTAAAGGCTGACCAACACCTTCAATAATTTCAGACACACCCAACAGAAAATCTGACGGATTAGGGGTTGGATCATTTCACATCTTGAATATTTTAGCTGATTATCTTTATATAAGGATGCAAGAACCAACTAAAATCTCATTTATGTTCATTAATTTGATGTAAAACAACAACCTCTTCAACCCAATTACAATCTGTTACATGACTGTGGGTTTGAAATGTGATTTAAGTTATATTTCACTGTTTAATAACTACCATCAACTGTGCTCAGCATGTTGTAAAAACTAATACATTTCTTAGAAAAATTCCTGATATTAATTTCCTGGTCATGTGTTAGGTGTCCACATTATTCAAATATCAAGTTTCTCAACCTGTTAACTGTTCATTTATTTCCTCATCAGTACCAACTTCTGTAAAACACAACTACTGCTGGATTAATCTGTCAAAGAGTCTCTAGACTGACAATATAAAATATAATAGAATGAATCTGTTTTAAAATATCCTAATTTATTAGTAATAAATAATTAATAGAATAAACTGAAACTGCATTAAAGAACCAGAAAAAAATTAAAGTACAAAAAYCAAGATATCTGGTAAATAACATTTTTAACATAAATACATCTTCAAATAAGTTATTTTTCAGTTCTAATAGTTACGTTGTGAACACAGCCTGAACCGATCAGCACCAAACCTCAGCTGTGCTCCGTTAAACGTGCACCACCTAGTTTCTTAGCGTGCACTCTTCATACAAAAAARAAATAAATGCCACACCTCTGATTAAAAGCAGGACCACAGATTTATGAAATGTGAGAAATAAAAACAGGTCGTGGTTATTCAGTTTTCAGGACGGCCTCACTTTGATACACAATCAGTGTGGAAAT